ACGAGCCTAGGTCGAGCCGTTTAGATTTGTGCCGCAATTGTGCATTTCCTCCCTATACCTTGAGGAGGGAATGTTCCCCCTTCTGTTACACCGCTTACACCTCTTGACCTTTGACCCTCAGCTTCGACATCCCAATTCGTTTTCGGATTACCCCCCACGTCCCGACTTTCGAATCCGTACGTCGAGCCGTTTAGATTTGTGCCCAACTGTTGACGGACGCACGGACACACGGCTGGACGGACGCACGCTCATGCGATTCTACAAGCTGAATCTGACTATGTCAGATGAGCTAAAAACAAATACAATGGTTATAAAATTCACAAACAAAGAAAGGATAGAGAAGGAGATATTAATAGGCAACCAAGTAATCAAAAAATGCACCAAATATTCATACCTAGGGGATTTAATTAATGATATAGGAGTCCGAACTAAAAAATGTAGGTTCATGATGAGGGAAATATTATCATGGGCAGAAGAGCAAAATTATGGAAATCATACTATAGAAGCAAGAGTGAAATTATACGAATGCACAGTTTGACCTTCCTTCCTAAATAACAGTGAAATATGGACTGAAACTTAACTAAGGAAGAAGTAAAAATGTTGGAGGATTTCCAAAATGAGTGCCTGCGCAAAATAATAATCACGCAAAAAAACGCAGAAAAATCTACCGAAAGGCATTGAAAGACGATGAATCAGTAAAAACAACATATAGTTTCTATACATAAATCGTGGTAAATACATTAAAAACACATTATTTTATTGAAAATCCCCATATTTACTTATAAAACATCCAAGAGATGGTGCTGTGGCATGTAAACATTAGCTCCGAACATTCCAACCTCTGTCGTGCAATTCAAATCCTTTGTCGAAAAGTTTATCACCTCACCGGACCATCACAGACATACATGCAGCGTCCGTCGTCCATCGCGATAATTCGTATAAATTACGAGGCGTCGTCTCTCACCTTGGGTTCGGTCATGATGTCTCGCGGCTCCTGCCTGTACTTGGGGGGCAGCAGGGCGGACAGGCGGTAGTTCAGCCACTGCTGCACGCCCTGGAACATCACACCGCCTCCGATGACGAGAATCGTGTTTAGCATCTTACGCTTCAAGTCCTCCGAGTCTGAAACGATGCCGAGGAGGCGCGCGTGAGCGAGTAACCGTGGCGACCGGCTGCCGTGACAACGTACGCGAGAGTATGTCTGGGGGGGGGATTCGTTATTAAATTGACTACGTCACGAATTTTCTATGGTGTATATTTGTAAAATGTTTGTTGCCATTTTTTTACATTAAAAGTAAATACTAACGTGACTAAATGTATTGTCAAATTCTTGCCTGATAAGATTGTTTCTCAACTAGTTAAAAATCCAGAAAACCTGGCTGATTTGATATTATGATCCCGACATTAATTGCTTGCAATGGGCTATTTATGAGTCACGAGTGTATGTTTACATCGAACAATACAGTAAAATATGAAGTATAATGCAGCAATTTAACCATAAAAAGTGAGCAGAATTACTTAGATTTTGTGAAAAAGTGGAAGTGGTTTTTTTAGTTTTACTATTTACGGTGACGTAATCACCACTCATAAGCTTAGCCGCCTCCGACTTTCCCTAGCTTCCCCTTATAGTGCATTTCTCGACTTTTTTCGTTGTGCAACCCTCCTGACAACATCTCTGAGTCTTCGTCAACGTTTCCCAAGTGAATATCTCCGATGGCGTATTTCTCGACTTGTCCGCTGATATTCGCTCCTCACTCTTTCCTGCTCCTTCTCCTCCCCCCTCCTCCCCCTCCTCCCTGCTCTTCTCCCTCTCCTCCTCCTAGCTCACCGCATCGCTCTATGCTGCGTACGATGGCCTGGTCCAGGGCCAACACCTGCTCCTGCTCCTGCTCCTCCTCTACCTTCTCAACCTCCCCTCCTCCCTGCTCCTCCGGTGCCTCCCTCGTCACCGAGCCGAGGTTTGACTGGTCGTCGTTGGCAATGTCATCCTCGAGCTGTGATTGGCTGATGGAGGGGTCGTCTGCAGGGTCAGCGTCCTGCTTGGTGGCGTCGCCACCCGTGTCTTTCATTCCTCGCCGCTAGGTGGCGCACGGGACGCGTGCACGAGAGAGCAAATTATTTATTCATCTATATATTATATAGATAATTTAATTTTCGTAGCGCACGGAACGCGTTATTATTTATTTATTATTATAATTATTATTAATTATTTATCTATATATTTACTTATTTATTTAATCCATATAGTCATTTATAGATTTATTTCGTAATCTATTTACTCATTAATTCATTTATCTAGTCCACTTTAGTCCACTTCACCTATTTAATTAATTAACCTCGTTATCCTTATTAGCTATGCCATCCTCGTGGGCGCGCCCGCGCTCGTTAGACACTCACCCGCTGCACCTGCTCCAGGTAATCCCCGTCAAACGGGTCGTGAGCATCCGCATAGAATCGCGCCTGCCTCTGCACGGCTGCTGTCGCCGTGGCAACGATGCCGAGCAGCTCGGGCGCGAACACGCCCAGTGGGGCCATCACGCACTCGTCGCCCAACTTCAGGAAGTACTCCCAGATCTTCTGCTGCGGATGTTTGACCTTGAACACCTGCGTCTGTAGCTTGCAGTTGTCCTGTGACGGAGCGCAGAGAGAGAGAGAGAGAGAGAGAGAGCGGGCGGGAATGTAGTACGTGATAGCACTTCACCGTGATATAGAATTAATCTATATCAGGATTGGCGTAACATACATAGTAATGATCTACATCCAGAGAGACATGATACAAGATTGCGTGGCACAACGTTGCTGTTGATCCTAAGCGCTGCGCGCGGATGCGACGCGCAGTTCCGCGGGATATGCGCACGCGACCGCGGGGATGTTCAAGTATGAAGCGCTGTCCGCAGTGAAGACGTGCGCCAAATTCGAGGCCCGGCGCACGTCTCCACAGCGGTCAGCGGATGGTCTGTAGTTTTAGAAGATGACAATAATTATATATGGACGATATTCTAGGAATTGGAGATTATAAAACGGTAACAAAAATCGCTCAGTCATGCTCCAGATTAGCTGAATCAAAAAGATTAGAATTTAATATAAGTGCCGCAGAGCGACAGCGCTCACCTGACGGCAGATGTTCTGATGCTAAACTCGCTGGCAAACGAATGAAGAGCACCCTCCCATCACCGCGTTTGCGCTCAGAGCATATATCTAGGATACTACTAATACAGATCTAAAATCTATGATAGCTAGGCTTTGCTATACCGGTAGTACAGTAATAAAGATACAGCTGTGTAACTTTAATGACTTCGCTATATTAACATGTTATCATGGATATGCGTCGAGCGCGAGCGTAGTGATGGTGGTGGGGGGAGAGTGGGGGGAGGGGGCTCTAATAGCAAAAGCAGTTGCCGCGAGATGGCGCGTGCAGGTGTCATCAATAATCAAAGATGGCATCACCCTTCGTGCGTGATAACCTCACTCCATTGAGTTGCTGAAATCCAAGTATATTCAGGCAGGCGAGAATTTCGCCCAGCTGTGAGTTAACACATCTGCATTGCAGGTTGCCAGGCAATAATTATGATTAGAATAGTGCCAGTTCACCCCCATGCATGCGTAATGGGCTGCCCCCATGTTTTTGCCTACCCACGCGAGCATTCAGGGTTCATTACAATGTGCTAATACAGGGTGCTACTCAGGGTGCTAATACAGACTGCTTTAGAAAATAATATGATTTAAGGAGCGTAAACCTTGTTCAACAAACATTTGCCTTTGCAATTGAACTGTGCAACTGTAGCCTCACATCCACAATAGCAAAAGCAGTTCAGTCCTTTGTGAACAGTCAACAAATCCATGTTTAACCCTCCTCTTGAGGGTCAAAAGGTTATCCGACACTTACTCTTCGCATGTCAGCGGAAAGTACATTTTATGTTCCTTTCAATAAAGCCATAAAAATGGTATTGTCACCGGCGAAACAAAAAGTGTTCAATACACGTCCGTCAGACCATGTCTCAGAAAATGTTCTAAAATCTGCCCTGTGCCCATTGACTTTGACTGTGACCTTTAATTTCGGCACAGTGATGGATTTTCCTACCAGATGCTAAGCACCGCTATCACGAGCTAGGTCGAGCCGTTGTAGATTGTGCCGCAATTCTGGCATTCTCCGCTATACTTAAGGCATTGACAGGCATTGAAGACCGATGAATCAGTAAAAACAACATATAGTATTCTATACGTAAATCGTGGTAAATACATTAAAACACATTATTTTATTGAAAAATCTTTCCATATTACCTTATAAAACATCCAGAGATGGTGGCTGTGGCATGTAACTTAGCTCTCGAACATTCCAACTCGTCGTGCAGTGTGCTGTGTTTTAAAATTGAATTGTTCGAATGAATGACGCACTCGTTCACTTCGCCAGGAGTGAAAATGCAGATTCCATGAAGATCCTCTCGATGGAAATGCATTGGCCGGCATTTCATTATTTACGAAATGTAAGACAGGCTGGGGAAAGACAGTAGGTACAGGAAAGCTGGTCAACGTCGGTGAGCCCATTCATGTCCATCAACGAAGAAGGCGGGGCTTATTCTGATTAGCGGAGATGCGAAAATGCATTCCAGAAGACGTAGCGGCAGTGCGCTAAACAGCGGTTATTTTCGTTTTGTGCCAAACTCTATCGTAGAAAACCGTTCTAGCCTAGCAGAATGCCCTAGTTCCTGAGATCGGCGATTTGGTGCAGTAATGGGACCTTTGAAAATATTATAGAGAGGGGGGCCGGTGCGGCGTAGGCTGTGATTGGAAGACACAAAGTGTCAATCCTCAGCATCATGGCCGCATCATGTCGAGAGTGAAATAATTAAGGATTAACCTATATCAGGAGTGATCTAATCTATAGGAGAAGAGATGAAATAAACGATTAATCGATATCAGGAGTGACAATATTATAGTAATAATCGAGCGCTAGGTGATAATACCTCGGTAACATTAGCTCTTGATATTATCTCGCTCTCGATATCAATACTATCGGACTGCCACCTGTTGTCAAATGCAGGCACTTCCTGACATTAAGCAACAGTAGCAACATATCTTACTAGGTCCATGTGGCAAAACTGCTCCTTGAGGTTCTGCAGGAACATGGCGTCCATGCGGCTGCGAGGGTCGCACTCTCTGTAGGGAAACTTGTATTTCCTCAGCATCTCATAGAAGGCCAGTGTGATGTCACTGCCTCCGTAGGAGTAGCATAGCCTGCAGCGGTAATAGCTATCGTTAATACTATCGTTAATAGAAGTAGGATGATCGAATTTATATTCCACTACATACGTACTGCTATATACATACTAGAGTATGTATATTTTGACATAGTAGTAATAATGCTATAACCATAGTTAATTATTATTATTATTATTGTTGCTGTTGTTGTTATAATAATTATGATTATTATTACTGCATTTACAAAGCAAAATCTCAAATAAAGTGACTTTATGGGATAGCATTAGCCATAACACAATAGTTAGGGTGAAATGTGTTGCTTTTTGCTGGTTTCATGTGAATAGCTTGTTACAGCCTTCTAGACTGTCGCACGCACCTAGTGTTGGGAGTGACGATACCGTCCTCCACACAGGTGACAGCAGTCTTCTGATCACCGACATCAACAACGCACGCGGTGCAGACGCCGGCACCAAATATGGCGCACACAGCTTCCTGCAACAACCAATAAACATGTTATCAAACTCCGACTTATTATCATCCTGAGCTATCACCAGAAATAATGCAATATCTATTTATCAGTCAGTGTGTCCACGTGTCTATGAATATATATGTAAATAAATAAATAAACATGTATATATATATATATATATATATATATATAAGAGAGAGATATATATATATATATATATATATATATATATATAGAGAGAGAGAGATATATATATATATATATATATATATATATATAT